CCCCACTCCTAATATACGTGAATGTAGCTTCATTAGATTTCTCTGGTGAGGATAAATTGCGTTTCCGGTTAATCTCATTAGATTGAGCATTATTTCTCAACCAATGAACAAAATAACAGAAATCTGAGTTATGTCGTTTAGTAAGCTTTTTTAAAGAATTGTAAGAACAGTATGTTTGGGCATAGAAGAGATTAAGAAAAGATGGGGAACATATTTTTCGCATTTTTAAATGACATTTAGGTAAACAAATTTTGACATCACATAGTTGTGTAGTCAGGTCAAATATTCCGTAGTTTGGAACGTTATCGAAAGTAGACAAGTAAAAGAGCACACCAAGCATAAGAATAAATAAACCACTAAAGTGACTGCTTTAGTGTAATGTGTTAATGCATATCGCCAAAAGTGCACAATAGTTGCCTTTGGTAGTTCCTATAATGATCAATTACTGTGCGAAAACATCACAAATACGATTGAATATTGGAAGGTCGCCTTGACACCAGTAAGAATAAATATTTGTGGTATCCTAACTATAAAATTTGTCAAGACCTCAACTGCCTACATCCCTCCTCCATGCAATGTAGTCAAGTTGTCCTAACTTTTTCATTATTATTACTATTGAGTTAATAATCCTTTATATACTTTAACTCAAACCCTCAGCTTCTTTCTACATAGTCGCATTTGTTTCAAAGAGTATTGTTTCGCAGCTGATCCTTGATAGATTCAGTTCAGGGGCTTTTACTGTTGCCACTAGCAATGCTGCTAGAGGAAGCTAAAAGGCATTCACTGTCTAAGATTTACAGTTAGTATCGGTCATATTTAGAATGATGTCAGACAGAAAGGGAGTATGGTCGAAGAGAAAAGTGGAGATGAACACCAGGGGAATCAAGCACTGAATTCAAGAAAGGGCCCGATGATAACCCAACCTGCAAGCGCAGGTGTTTATTTTAGCCGGGGAGTCACCCAATGTTCCATTATACCACCCTTAACTTTAGCGATCGAAATTATTCATCTAATAGGTGCCATCGAAATCAATGACAACAAAGTGGAATTTTAAGGTAATTGGAAGCGATTCTGCCATGTATCAAAGCCACGGCTGTAGAAACTTGAAATTGATAGCCCAGAAGCAGCAATGACAAGAAACGTACCCTTTACTCAAATAAGAAAACACTGAAGCTATCACAATGCAATAACATATATTGAAAAAACAAAGAGGGATGTACGTCAAAGTCACTATTAAATATATACTAACTGTGCCCACGCTGAACAATTTGTGCAAGTTTAAAACGCGAAAAAAAACGCAAATGCAGGTTGTACGTGAGACTGCCTCAGAGCTCCTCCTTTACATCGGGTGTTTCAGTCTGCAAGAATGAAAAAAGAAAGTTTCTTAGAACTTCAAATTACAACAGGAATGCCAAGGTTTTAAAAGGAGCACTTACCTCAGTGGATTCCTCCTCTTCAAGTGGTTCAGGAATAGTATCATCTTCCTCAACTTTTTCAGTTGGATCTACGTCCAAATTCTTTCGTAGCTCACGTTCAAGTCTCTCCGCGAAACCATCCAAATCTTGCATGATATAACCAGAACGCAGCACGGCCGTATCATAGAGGAGAAGTATATTTTCTTTAGCCACCTCATCATTAGGATCAATCTGAATAAGTTCGTTCAACTTCTTAATCAAAGGATGTCGTGGGTTGATCTCTAGGGTTTGCTTCTGATTTAAGTAATATTGAGTGGCCGCTGTGTCCATGTTAGCATATGCTTGAGAGAGGACAACCTTCTGGAAGTTGCCAGACACCATGTAGTCATCAGCAACCAAAGCACAAGGACTGGTTTCGAGACGTTGAGAAACTCTCGCATCCTTGATTTTACCAGAGAGGCCCTTGTCTTTCAACCAGTCGGTAAGTGGCTTGAAGGTCTTTTCGAGTTTCTCAAACTTCTCTTTGTTTTCTTTGTCTACCTCTAGATCCAATCCACCCTTGGCCAGATTACGAGTCGGCTTGCTCTTTAACTCGACTAAGGTTTGCATAACATACTCATCCATTGGTTCAGTAAAGTAGATAACTTCATATCCTAAGCGTAGCACACGCTCAACAAAGGGAGAGCTCTTGACTTCTTTCATGCTGCTTGCTGTGATGTAGTAGATCTCTTTTTGGCCCTCCTTCATTCGTGAAATGTACTCTTCGAAAGATGTCAACTTGTCCTCTGACTTGGAGGTGTAGAAACGTAAAAGATCAGTTAATTTGCTCTTATTTGGCATGTCCTGAATCATACCCAACTTCAATGAGACAGCATACTTCGCCCAGAACTTGTCATAGTCCTCTTTCGACATTTTGGACAACATTTCGAAGACCTTGCGAACGAGTTTTCTCTTAATCAGTTTCAGAAGTTTATGCTGTTGGAGCATTTCACGAGAAACGTTGAGTGGAAGGTTGTCGCTGTCAACAATACCATATACAAAGCCTAGGTAGCGAGGTAAAAGATTATCCACGTTCTCAGTGATAAATACTCGGCGAACATATAACTTGACATTGTCAGTAATCGGCTTATCTGACTGGAATAGATCAGGTCTGGGTGTGGGACTAACGAAGAGAACTGCATTGAAGTTCACCTCTCCCTCGGCGGAGAAGTGGATATGAGCAAGTGGTTTCTCGCTTGAATGAGAAAGAAGTTGGAAAAGTTCTTTGTACTCCTCCTCAGTTACTTCTGAAGCCTTCTTAGCCCAAAGAGGTTTCTGACCATTGAGTAAAGTCCAATCCCAAACTGTCTTCTCAACTTTCTTCTTCTCTTTGGGTTTATCCTCTTCGACCTACAAGAAAAAATAAACCCTTCAAGACATGCGTTTCTCTATCCCTTGCTATAACCCGGTTCAATTAGTCACATCAAAATCGTAGTGACTTCCACTATAAGATGGGCTATAGTGACAATCCGAATTAAAAATTCTTTACGTTCAGTGCAGTAACAATATAGACCAAATAAACAAGAAAACTGGGAAATATACCTCAAAACTTACCGATACATCATCAGAAGATTCTACTTTCTCCTCTTCAACCTCCTCCTCGACAGTTTCTGTTTTACTCTCCCACAATTTTATAGGGCAAGTAACAAATTGGCTGTATTTTTTTAGAATTTTTTGAAGAACATCATTCTGCAGGTACTCTTTTGATTCCTCCTTGATATGAAGAATAACCTCGGTACCACGGCCTAAAGTGTTGCCTCTTGGGTCTTTGGCAATTTTAAAGGAAGTCGAATCAGACTCCCAAATATGCTGCTCATCCTTATTATGCTTCGAGATAACAGTTACACGATCGGCAACAAGGAAAGCTGAGTAGAAACCGACACCAAACTGGCCAATTAGATCAGAAGGGGCAGAAGCATTCCCCTCAGACATCTTCGCTAATAATTCAGAGGTACCGGATTTGGCAATTGTTCCGAGATTTTTTATCAACTCTTCTTTGGTCATACCAACACCAGTATCACGAATGGATATCGTCTTTTCATTGGAATTGGACTTAATCATAATAGATAGATCTGGTAAGGAGCTCAAGGCATCTGAATCAGTGAGAGACTGGAATCGAATATTCTCAACTGCATCAGCGGCATTTGAAACTAATTCTCGAAGGAATATCTAAGAAAATTCATTTGATGAAACATTGAGAAACATACCTCCTTGTTAGAATAGACAGAATTTATAATGAGCTTCATCATTTTCGGAACCTCTGCCGAGAATGAATGTTCGACAGAATTTTTCGTAAGCTTATTCAGTGATTCATTTGTTAAGCTATCAGGAAATAAATATCAAAGCGTTTCCTTACTCTGCTTCTGTTCCAGTAGATGGCTTGATATCATCAAATCCTTTTCCGCTTGTGGAATCATCACAAAAAACAGAGAAGATTGTGAATGATACAAAGATCAAAACCAAAACCCCATATAACGGTCTACAACCCATTACTAACAACAGTCGAAAGGGAAGAGTGCGCCCAAGCGCTTATATTTATTGAATGTGTCTAAAAGCTATTGGTCGACTAAAGAAATTTGATAAATAAAAACAAGTGTAAAATTCTGTTTGAAGTTTCGGTCGTAAGGTAGATTTATCTTAGCTTTATATTTGGAAAAATACTCTTCAAAAGATTACAGTTGTTGAAAACATGAAGAACTTGAGTTACTTATTGAGACAAGTAATTTTTAGCCAACAGGATCAACCATGTATGGAATAGGATTTTCTGCCTAAATATATATATATATATATAAATTCAAATTTAAATAAACATCTTTGAAACACGACTAATATATCTTTCGTATACTCTAAGGTTTTCATTCTCCCCAATGAACTGCAGCACTAAAACACCACAAGGAAATGAAAACTTTGTGTTAGAGAACTTACTCTTTCCTAATTGAATGATTTAGGCAATTTGAATTTTATCGAGCATTATTCTCCAACAAGAGGTTTTGGTCTACTACAATTTACTGAATTGCTGTTTTTAAGCTTTTTAAGAGTTTAAAGCTCAGTAAAATGGTTTGTTGATTGACAACCTCGATTTAAACAATCTTTTAAAATCAGCATTTTTCCATGATAGTTCGTATATCACCCAAGAAAAATTGTTATGTTTTGATACATTAATAACTACATTAGGTCATTTTTGTTTTACGGATAACTTTGGTGCCCATGTTGTGATGTGCAGCGAGGTAAAAGTCGACAAGTTGGCTTCTGGAGCGTCTCATATTGACTTGCTTATCAAGGTAAATTACATAATCAACTCGATTATATTCTAATCATTGTGTAAAGAGAACTAAATTTCCGATCTTGAAAGATGCACGGTAACTAGCAAATTCACATTTAACTATATCAAACATAAAAAGCTGAAAAGTATAATGATTGGACATTCATCTTACTTTAAAACTTGACGAGCATTTTCATGAATTCATAAAAAATTCAGGAATAAAGAGTTTAAATAAAATGGATTTTTTAATAATGTACTTCCCGTTTTGTAACTATACCTCCAAAATATTACTTAAACTTACATTAAGTATGACTCTACGATGTCTACTCAGTATATTCTTTCATTCTCGCCTTATAATTAATTATTTATTTGCCATTAACCATTTTTCATTCCATTATAACAACCATAAATCAAAGTATTTTTCATTAATATTTTAAAGTATGGAAGTGCGATAGACTTACCTACACGTGATTCACTCTGGGCAACGTACACTCATACAGTTGACTTCTGACTTCAAACTACCATGACCCCACTGTTTTTCATAGTCCGTCACTTCCACAGTACTCATTGGACTAATAGTAAATCTCATAACGCTTGCCATTTGAAATGGCAATAATATTTTAAAGTAAACAAAACTTAATATTTCTTTACTTAAAAGTGATGTCTAAAGTATTTTAGATTTTATTTATACAAGACCTTTTATTATAGCTCTATTTTAAGACAGAAGTACTTTCTTGCGTTTATTGTTTATTTTTACTATGATACATTAAATTGATGTAGCCCGATATTACAAGTTCAATATGTCTTTTTCGCTGGAAACAGAATGTGGTAATGCACGGTAAATAATATTATGTTTAGTGTCTACGAATGAATTAAACTTAGTAAAATGCAAGTTTTGTGGCAGAAAATTTTTTCCAACTTCATACGTAAGTCAAAATGTCAGTGTTTTGCAAATATGTTGTTGGTCTTAATCATTAGATTTCTAAATTGACAGAGTAGTATACTAAATGAATATTGAAATTGATTGATATTTCCATTTGATTCTTACTTGTTTTTTAGGAAAAGCATATTTCTTCCTGTGAAAGAGAATGGGTGCGTGCAAATTGTAAGGAAGAACATAAAGCCACTAAAGAGTCTGGTCCGTTTGTAAAAGCGCATGTCACGGGCTACGAAGTGCACGTCAAAACGTTTGCCGACATGCTTTCTCTGGGTGCGGAGCGTAGAAAGCGATGGCGTCTACGACATAAGGAGTTTATTCATACCATAAAATCAGCTAAGGCAGGTATTGATAAAGGCGATAAATCTGAGACGTTTGATGAAATGGATCAAAATATCACTTATGCAGGTCTGAAATTGAATTAAATACACTCTCTGCATCTCAATAGGTCTCACTCAATGCGAATATTGCAAAAGAAGATTTAATGATGGAGCTTATTTTAAGCACGTGGAACAATGTAAGTTGAAACAAACTGATTCAAAGGTGCTACTAACTGAAGAACAGAAGGAAGCGAAGGAACGTTTTGCGAAACGAATGAAGGTTCGGAATTTATAAGTCTTTTTCAATTTAGCTCCTGGCCCAATTAGTTAATTATTATAACGATAACTAACAATTCCAAAATTAGTTATTATGACTTACCAAAAAATCTATAAATGTCTTTTAGTACAACACCAAGCTTGTGGGCAAAGAGCAATCTGAGAAAGAGATTTTTGATCATGAAGAACAAAACATCAACAAGGGTGACATCCCTGAGACCACTGGGGTTTATTTTAATCAAGATCAGCGCGAATTAATGAATAAACTGGCAGAAAAACTACATTCAGATTTAAAATTATCCCGAATGCCCACTACTGATGATTTGCAAACTGATGCTCTTGCCGAAATCATCAAGAGTAATATCGCCTTACTGTCTAATGCGCCAACGGAAATCAGTAAACATTCTTGGTTAATATTGCTAATAGCTACCTGTTTTTTCTTTCCATTGCAAAGTTTAAGTGCACAACTTTCTTTTTTTATAAGAAAGTGACTATGAATGTCTACGCCACCATATTGTGGAGTCACTAAAATAAAACACTAGATTTATAGATTGAAAGATTAAGGGTCATAATCTTATGCATTCACAATTCTGTTGCCTCCATCAGAAGATCGATAATTAACTGGAATTAGTTGCCTATTATTATTCATTGAAAATTAATGGATATTTCTCTTGCCATAATACTGAATCAGTTTGAAAAATTATTCTCTCGTGTTGATTATAAGTATCTTCGAATATTTAGAAATTTTTAGCCACCATTTATAAAAATTAAGTATGACATATGTCGGAATTTTTGCATGTTTTAGAAGTAAGGTCAAGAGCAATTCAATTGTTAACCTAAAAAGTAATACACCCTAGATTTGTGGTATCTAATCGATTTGAAACAATACATTGTTTCAAAGTGAAACTCTGTTGTTTAAAAGAAAAGTACTCCTCTACAAGCCATTACAACTTTTATTGACTGGATGATATTGAAATTTCAGCAAAAATTAATATCTTTTCTGATCTTTACATATTGTCATTCTGCTTTCAACTTCGTATTTTAGAAGCGTCATTACAATGCATTTCGGAATCAAATTCAGCAACTTCTTCAGCAGTTTCACCCACCGATAAATCAACTTCTCGTGAGAAACACAAGTCATCACGTCGTAAATTTTCAAAATCCTCGAATTTACAGTTTGGCAATCAGAATGACTGCATCACCTATCTCGATTCAAATGAGTCCTCCCATTGCCCTCCTTCTAGCTTAAAATTACCATCAACTTCATTTGATAGCATCCCTATTAACGATATCAATAGCAATTATAACTGTCAAATTAATCATAATGACCCCGCAACAACTAACTGGAAGAATAAGTTAAAGCCAGATTTTGAAATAATAATAGAAGATTCTGACCAATTTGTGGGTCATCATCACAAACCACATACTCACAGCAAGCATCACAAAGGCTCACACAGATATTCTGAGGCGGAAAAGGACTCAGATTGCTTAAACTATAAACCCAATGGATCAGAGCAAGCAAACACGCACCAGGTTGGTAATGGTTTTTCCCCTTGCTATATTTTAGGCCCCTAAGAAACCCTAGTTCAGAAAATCCTTTAAATCCCCATCTTCGTTGTAGTATCTGCAGATATTGAGTAGTGCAATGTTAGAAACCATAAATTATAACAATTTTTGAGCCTAATGAGCTAAATAAGACTAAATTCTGTGCTATCGATGAGTTTGTATTTGTAACCCTATTGTATTTGAGATGAACCTAGCAAGAATAGTTACCTTGTATGTGCTCATAAACCAAGATTGAGCTCTCTTATTTCGAGTTTTATAATGCTGCTTGGTTAATCGATAACATTGAGTGTATTTTGGCAGAAAAATCAACTACAAATGAACATGTCTTCCAAGGAAGGAAACCCATCATCGAAATTAGTGCCTCACAATGAGGATTACCAGAGAACCGGCAGTATAAATAGTCAGACTTTGCATGAATCAATGAGTCGGAAATCTAACGTTTGTTATCTATCATGCCTACCCTCTCCAAGTGTTCAGAGTTCCGGCAGCGATGAAACACTGAAGGAAAAACAACCGCACAACATTGAGTAAGTACCCCTTAAAGGTCAAAACTTATATCATTTTCGTATTAGAAAAGAAGGAAAGAATTATCACTAACGTAGGCAGGCCCCCACAAATGAGAGTCTTATTCGGTCATAAATTGTCATTTGTGGGACACGTCATTCTCATGATATGACATTTGAACTCATCATCCAATGAAAATCTGATAAATATGCAAATGTTTGAGAGATATTATAATTAATTATAAAAGAGTCAAAAACACCAGTCCATTGAAAATTCCCGCATTACGTTATTTCTTATACGTGGGAAGTTCCTTTGGTCAGCCTTGGTAGTGTTGTACCTCCACAAATATTTGAGAGCACTGACGGAATAAATTTGCATCCCATCAAAGATGCATATTATCGTAATGACAGTCGTCAATTGATAGAAATCATTATTCGATAAATAAAATTTCTCATTTTCATTTTTTAGTTGAGCTAAGTCAAATAAATGAGAAATATGTCAATGGTATTAAGAATTGTGCTACCATTAGATAGACAACTTTTAATTTCTACGTAGCATTTTCGCTATGATTTAAGCTCTGTTTAGAATATCATCACTGAGTTAATTTTAACAAATTACGCACTAGCCAATTTCATCACAACGATTCAAATTTGACGTGCTTCAAGTGCTTCCATCTTTGAATTTATAGACTGGAAGGGCTACACAAATCTATCAGGCCAAATATTTTCGTTCTTTTAAATACGAAGATCTTAAAAGCAAATACTTTCAGGTGGCATCTCTATTTCCAGGGCTAAAGTATTGGAAAAAATCGGTGCAGTGACTTAGCTCCTGTTTTAAAGACATGTTTTATTATCTTGGGAAAATAAAAGTCTGACAAAACTACTTTACCCTAATTATTCTGAAATAGTTAATCTACTTATATTTAAAAGTAGGACATAATTTGTTGCTCTTAGCTAACGAAATTTTGCATTTATTCCTGAATCAGGACAGCAAGCCAACATTCTAAACAACGCCATCACAAGCACTTAGATATACCTAAAAATTCATCCCATGCGCAGAGCCACCACCAGAGTCAGTCATCGCAAATGGGAAACACAAACTCAAATCCTGAAGGACGCTCAAAGAAATCTAAATCGAGGTATTGTACTCAATGTGGAGAGAAATTTGACCCCGACTCTCGATTTTGCTCCTCGTGTGGAGCAATTAGAAAGTCAAAGGTTTCCGGAGGCAAATGTCCTCAACAATGTTAGTTTCACAACTAATTACAAAGCTGACTTAAGTAAATTTACCATCTTCTTACCTCTCCTATATCTACTCTACTTGTTTAAGTAACTTGAAATCGTATAACTGTAGATTGCAGTATATATATATAAATTTAAGTTAAAAGTATATATGTCCTATTAAGTAAGAATTCGTTTTGTACTAAGATACAACTATGACGATCGGTACGTCAGTACTTTTGAAGTAATTACCTCACGTTGTGGAAGAGTTATTTCAAAAGTTATAGCTGTTAAAGAGAATTGTAAACTTACAATCCAATATAATCCAATGTTAACCACTACTATTTCCATTTGATCTTATGTTGTGTTTGAAGGATATGCTTATGCAGAATAAAAATCGGTGCCATGAATGAGTTGGATTTTTTGAGAGGAATCACGAACTTCTTCGTTCCAAATCAACTATTTCAAATGCCATTGGGCTGAATATTTGTGAATTTGCTACTTCCATTTGAATCCATATGCGTATTCAGTATTGTAAAGTGGCCAAAAACTAACGAGCCACACTTATTGAAAAACTTGAATTTCTTTGATATGATTGCTTATTTTTTTCTGAACCAGAACAAAAACTTTATGGTTTAAGTTGTGGCAAGCAACCAACATCGTATCGCGGTATGTCAAATAACTAGTTAACTGAGGCGATTAAAATAATAGAGAGAGAAACGTCAATGCACCAAAGGGTTTTACTACCTTTTACTTTCGATCTATTTGTGAAGATCGCATTCCAAAATCCAAATTTACTTTTCATCCACAAGATTATACTAATGTTTTTTTCTAATGAAGTTCAGTGTTTATTGGCCAATATTAACTAATTGGCTTTGAAGGCAAACGGTTTTCTAAGATACTCCTCAGCTTACAGTTGTATCATAACCGAGAGATAAAGAAGTTTAGTTAGTCATTTCAAGGAGAACTCTGATCACCTACCAGAATTAAAAATGGCGATTGGAATTGCACACCGTTAGGTTTACACCAATGTCCACCAACCTCGTGAACTCTGAATTGCAGGGCGATTTCTGCGTAATTAGAATATACTCATTACTGTTTATTTCCAATTCACTTGACACAAAGTCAGGAACGTTACTGTAAAGTTGATTAAAAGTTAAAATGATTCTGCGTTTTCCACCGACATTCTTGCATAGTGGAAAGGTATCCCATTGAGAAGGAACACAAATTTCATTGCCTTTTGTTGGAGAGATCTAATTAGTGTTGACGAAAATTACCCTCACTGAGTGTAATTATACAGTACAGTACTCGCGTCGAGTGTAGAAGAATTTGCTATTCCCATAACCCTTCTTGAATGTTTTGGATGGTTACAGAGCAATTATAATCATTATTAAGCGCAAAACTATGCCTGTATATATATATATATATATATATATATATATGCCATATACTATTCTATAGAATAAGCCAAGTTAGTTGAGCAAATCCACGACAAGTGACAACTATGCCAATACGAAATTGGCAGTCATACTGCCAAAGAGACTTGAATACTGCCACTTCCTACCTTATAAAGCCATAATGTCCTTCATATATTTGGAAATTATTTGTAAATCACAAAATTAAGCGAATAAAAGCAAATAGTAATCTTCAAATTGAAAACTGAACTTTAGTAGCAATCCACGTTTTGAGTGAAAAGAGAATTCTCGGTTATCTCTGGATAAAGATGTCAATCGCGTCTCAAGTTATGGATAAATCCCTCTTCCTCTCTGTCATTCATTCACTTCCCCACATTGCAAATAGAGAACTTGAGATTAACTTAAGTGTTCTAAAGAGAAAAAATGCCTATGTGTATGATATTTAATCCAAGATTAAGTACAGGATCTTTTATTCAGTTCAAAGAATTTAAGTCATTCCTAAAGCGTCAAAATTTGGACTTATTAGAATCCTCACAAATAATTTAACCTACTTCAATTTCTATGGATTTCTTTCCTACTGATCCATTTCGCTCCAACTGCCAACGGTACATTAACGAACAAATAAAGCGTATTCTCTCAACTTCCTTATGGTTTCTTATTTCGTTAGTTCATCACATATTCTCTGTACTCAGTACTGAGGTCTCCTTCTTCCTCCCCCCCCCTTATTCATGTTCCAACTTTCAAATAAAGTTGAGATCCTACTTGACTATTGATCTAATTCGTTAATGACTGGTGTATCTTGATAACGATATAAAGATCATTAATTCCAAGAGGGGAAGTCAAGACTTATTTAGCCTTAAAGTCGCGTTACTAAGGTAAATAAGCCACCGTAAGCTTTGCCAACATCGAAAAAGACTTTTATTTAGACAGTTCACTAAAAGAATTAGGAAAAAATTTTGAAAAATAAACCACCCCTAAACGATCACTTTTGCTTAGGTTTGCCAAATAATAGTCTGTTTTCAAAGTGTTCTTAAAAAGCTAATGCGGACGTAATGTCCAAACTGTTGCATAGCTGTAGAGACTCGGTTGAGGTTGTTCCGTTCCATAATGCGATCAATCTAACAAGTCATTTCATTTCTAAATTGGCGCTCCATTTAGTATCTAAAATCCAAACTCAACAAGTCTATAGATGACTTATAAAATTAGTCAATTTCTTCTGATGTTAAATACGTTTAAATAGGATTATGAAATATTATACGAAAACACTCCTTTTCTAATGGGACAGAATTATCTCAAACAACACTAATGGCGATCTCTAAAGCAAATGGTTAATAATCACAAGAAAAAGTATGGACATTGTGGTTTCAAGAGGAAACTCTTCAACATTTTTACCCTCCTCCGTCACATATTATAAAACAGACCTTCAAGCATTTACCATCGCAAATAGTCAATTCAACGAAAGGAATAACGTAAAAAGGGCTTCAACTTAAACTAACGTGTAGTCAGCCATAAGGTGTGTCAATTTCACACAATATTTATTCTAAAAACTAATCAAAATGACAAATATCCGTCAAAGATTAATAGCAGATTAGAAATGCATGTGAATACTCTAGTATCTGAGTTCGAAATCATTTTAAGATAATATTTTATACAAAATCCAACAAATACTAGCTATGATAGGAATTGAGGATTGATCGGTAAGCCAATTAGCACTAAATAATCCAATCATCGATTACTCATCAACTTGAAAATAATCGTTCACACCCAATACAAGTCGTACTTTAGTTAAACATAAGGAAATATGCTGGCAACAAACGACGTGGATTCGGATATAATTCAAAGATTTGAAAGGATTCGAAACCACAAAAATATTCAGGGTATAATTCTAGTAAACGAAGAGGGTAATCCCGTTCGATCAAGCTTGGATACCTCTACATCGCTACATTACTCAAGGCATGCAAACGAATTAAAAGCAATATCGCAAGATATTGTTCGTGATCTAAATCCGGATGATGAACTAACCGTTTTGCGACTGAGAACAGAACATAATGAAATAATGATGTTGCCAAGTAAGTACAATGAGAGAAAGCTGTGCACAGAGCTATCAGAAAATTACCTAGAAATCAAAACTAACTTTATCCACTTTTCCAGATAAAGAACAAATGGTAGTATGTATCCAAGCTTGCGAAAAGAACATGGAAACCGAAGAACTGTAAAAATTTTCAAATAATTAATAAATTTTATTGACACAAAGTTTTGAGGATATGGCAAACTGCCATGGGCGTACTATGAAGAAAAGCGCACTAAGGGTAAAGTTGGATCTTTGGGAAAACCTAATAACAATGACCGGTAGCTAGAAAACAACATTTCTTGAGTTAGGAATTTAGATGGACCAAAGCTTTTTAACACCCTTGATGACGCCGATGTCATTTATGTTGAAATATGTAAACCCGGCGAATCCGCAAAGGCAGATAACTTTCCAGAGAATTTGCATAACCTTGGGGAGAAGGGCGCCATATCTACGTTCCATAAGGTAATCGCGGAGAACGCCACCAAAACCCCTATAAAAATTAGGTCAGCATTTTTACGATGAAACCAATAGTTACATACCAGTAAGCATGAAGAGTAACAGAGAGCGTCACAAGATGCTCGAATCCGTAAGGCTCGTAAATAATGGCAATAGGATACATTGGAAGCATAGCAACAGCAATAACACGCTCGATAGTCCAGTGCTGAGATGGAAGAAGGCCAGAAGTTACTGGCGTAGGAGCTAAATGTAAGAATAATAACAAATGAGCAAAATGAGGAAATACAAACAGAAACATAAGGACAAAACTTGAATGACTTACCAGTCCCCAATTTTGCCCTATTGTTAGCGGTGCTAACCAAAGTCCTGCATGCATTGACTGAGGCGAAATTGACGCAAGCAGCCTTACGAAAGAGATGTCTTGAAGCCAATAGAGCAAGAGACATATTTGACCAAAAGCGAAATTGCAATAGTTTGAGAGTTGAAGCGCGGGCTAACTAGATGCCTAAAACACAATTGCAAATTGAATGTGATTTTTGATTACATATAGGAATTTGCTCATTCTAAATTAAAATACCAAATAAAAATTTAATAGATCGATTAAAGTTAAATTAAACCAAATTGACATATAAGAGGATTATCATAAAAATTAGTAATTTTAATTATTTATAGGTATTTATAATTAAGACTTAGCTATTATTAGTTTTATCTTTTTTTCTTATCTGGTAAATTTGTTCTTATATTTGCAATATTTTTGATCACAAATTTTCATAAGACACAAAATTTGTTAATTAATGACATTAAAGTTGCTACACTTTGAGATACTTCCTACTACTTTTATAGTATAACGGTGTTACAAAGGTGAATTAAGAATTTGATGGAGACTTTCAATGCAAGCAAGAATTCAGTTCACCTACTCAAAGTAACCTATGAAACTTTGAAATCAAAATATTCACTAATATATTATTATAAACTAAAATGAGTCTTCGTCAAGATTTTCCTTTATCTTTATTGTATTCCTGTGTCACATTTATTGTCGTATGTCGTTATATATTTAAGATGAAAATATTTTAGTATTTATTTTAGACTGTGATCTCGTTGAGTTCTGCTCTTACCATGACAATTAGTGAGCTCCAATTTTTTCCACGTCTTTCTCTACCTTTCCCTATCTGAGTAATTTTATAATTGTTTTAAAATTTGGTTATTTAATAAAAATTTGAATTTCAATCGAATCGTAAACTTACGAAGCAATTTATTGACATGAAACTTTAGAATTATACAAAGCTCCTTTTCTTTAGACATTAGTCATTTATTTGCTAATGGTGGACATCTGCTAACCTGTTTAGTTGCAAGCAGATATTAATTGATATTTTCCGCTAATTTAGGATGGCGTTAGCTTAGCCTGACAAAAATGCTATTACGTAAATATTTGATCTTCAATTTTATTTAAATCTACCTTGCTTCATTAGGACCCAACATAGTTTTGTGGCTATGCAGACCTAGTTATTGTTATTTCCTTAAAGTCCATTGAAGTCAACCAATTAATTGTAATTTTCATTAATTAAGTGCAATTTAACAAAATAACAAATGGTCTGCATATTTTACCAGTGCATTGTAATTACAATATCCGAATGTTTTGGATATTAGTTTAAAATTCGCAATTTAAGCAAGATTAAAATGTCGAGTGTCCCAAAAATGCAAGCAAACTTTAAATTAATTGACTTTACCGGTCACATTTACTCGAACTTTCTGCAGCATTCTGTTATGCCAAGCATTAGAGAAGTCTGTGAGGATGAAGGGTTTTGTTTTTAGCTAGATGGGGCACCCCCCCCCCCCCCCCACTTTACCATCGTGTAGCTACGTCTTTCCTTGAGGAGGTTTTGTCAAGCAGGTGGATTGGACGAAGAGGTTTAGTTGAATATCATTCTCTTTCACCAGACCTTCCACCACTAGATTTTTTACGGAGATACTTAAAAGACAATGTCTATGCTACGAAACCTTCAACAGATACTGAATTAAGAGAAGCCATGAAGCATGAATGCGTCAAAATTCCAAAGGGATTGTTACATTATGTGCGTGATTCCATCGCTCGGCGTTGTTAACAGTGTCTGGATCAAAATGGACGTCAGTTTGAGAACAAGCATTGAAAACAATAAAATTATACTTGTAGGATATTTTTGTGCTGTTGAAATAATAAAATTCTAATTGAACGCCACGTATACAATTAATTCAAATGTGCATATGTTTTTAGATCACTCTGTATGTTTTAAGTTGATGTCACTTTAGACATTATACTTATTTCAAAAGAGGGATATATTTTAAAAGTGGGGTGTGCGATAGACTTACCTCCACGTGGTGC